GCTTACAAAAAGTTTGATTCAGAAAGTACCAAGGATTTTAAGCGTAATTAATGACAGGTCATAATACCTAACCAACACAATAATCAAAACAACCGGCTATTCTGTTCCCCCCTCTTTTGTGGTTTTATTTTGAAGTTTCCCAACTTACGGTTAATTCAATTACCAGTTTTACTTTGAGTAACAAATAATGAACAAGCTTCGGATACTCAACAATTATTAAGTTTGTCGGTTTGGTTAGGGCAGAACTTTTCGTATAGATCCTTGACTCCGTAACGCGTAACGATACGAACATACATTCGAATTAATTGGCTATCGGGTTTCCATATTTGGGTCGGCTGGGTCGGGTCGATCCTATGTACTGGAAGACCAGCCCTTCGTTATAGGTAGGTATTCCTCCCTTAGTTCCAGCCCTTCTTCGATATATTCCTCCCTTCGTGTCTATGGGAATTAAAGTGTTAACTTATTCTTAATTTAGTTTGTAATAAGGGAATTGCGAGGAAGATTGAGAATCTTCACTAAATCTATGACTTATTGTCAACTCTTTGACTGACTCATGGTCTTATAATGACGTGTACACGAACTATACACAAGTGTGTGAGCTAACGTCTTAATATTATGAAATATGATTTAGGTATCACTTATAGAAATTGACTTGCCTGACGGATATTTTATTGTCTTGGAAGTTAATAACTCACAAGTAAAATATATCGATTATTTTTCATAAAAGTCAGTCTTCCATTGGCTGTCATGACAAATAAAAATACATATTAGAATTGTGAATAACAACGAATTCAACTAACAATAAAATCCTTCCAATCAATAAAATGCTTAACCAATTGATCCCAATACTGAAACCTTCCTAATATCCCCAGAATGGATGCCAATATGCCATCAAAGATTGATAAGTGAGATAGAGACGACTCGTTGACAGAGACAGCAATTTGGCGGCGTATGATAATTCAGACAAGTTCTGTAAACAATCACTTCGTTCACGTCAATGATACGTATCAACCAATTCATAGAACAAAAATAAATTATCGGCAGTTTTATACATTTTCATCTACTTAATCTCATAAGAAACCAATTTTTTTTCTTAGTTCTGAGGTGGAATTGTGTAAAGTAATCGTAATCATTTGACAGTTCATAGCGTACGATAAAGTCAGTTAAACAAAGCGTTTCACAGATAATGGCCACTTTGGTTGTCACAGACTATTTGTCGCTGACTGTACGGCTGACAGCATACCTAACAACAATGTTAACAGCATTGTTGTGTTCCGGCAGTTAGAGGTAAGACAGCCAGTTCCTCCGTAGCTGAGGATTCCGGGTGAAGCTCGCTTCCACCTTCGGTCTGATCATCACTTACCATCAGGTGAGATACAGGCCAAGAGCTTCCTCGTTGTGGATAAAAAAATAAGCTACCTACTCATCACACTTACTTTTACACCCAATGTGATTCTATCCAACATCGACTGGCATCCTGTGGGTCAAATCTACCGTTATTCGCCAATCCACTTATCTTTATGCATAAAAGCAGCTACGTTTCAACGAATGCTAATGAAAATGTTCTCGGTTCACATTCACATTACGAGTATCATAATATAATATCAAGAAACTGAAATCCTTTCGTACTCGGGTAACTTAAGACATAATTATAAGCACATGTACAAGTAAGTACATGAGCTCACTTCGCAAATTACCCAACTTTCGTGACTGAATACACAAACTCGGGGTAAATTACTCTTTATGAAATTACCCCACTCAACGGGTATGTAGGTATAATGGCTTACAAAAACGATACATTATGAGCTAGCCATTTACCGAGGAAGCCACTTGGTGAGCAATTATGATGGGCATTTTGCGATTATGATTGGTATTTTCCGGAAATATTAATTTGATATTTAATTTTTGGGGCCGATAGTTTTTGTCGGCTTGCAGTTTATGAGGAATCAGCTAATATTAAATCAGTGTTATGTGTGGTATCTAAATGTATATGTCAACGTGAAATTGTAAACTCTGTCAGTTTATAATATAACGCGTTAGATTGTAAAATAACAGTGGGTTAGGTTAGGTTAGATTGTAATTTAAGTACGTCAGATTATAATCTGACGGAATTCACAATTTTACGGTGACATATATAACTCAAAGGTGACTAACTAACTGACATGGTGATGTATCAACGCACAGCCCGAACCACTGGATGGATCGGGCTGAAATTTGGCATACAGGTAGATGTTTTGACGTAGGCATCCGCTAAGAAAGGATTTTACGAAACTCCACCCCTAAGGGGGTAAAACAGGATCCACACGTACGAAGTCGCGGGCGGCCGCTAGTTTTGTACATAAACTCGGGCCATTGGATATACTGATTAACAACTCGACTAAACTATCGGCCAATAGAAAGTCTGGAGTCTGCGGGGACTCTAATAGTATGTCTATATTTACGAGGGGCGGCTGAAAAGTTTTGAGCCTAAGTATCTTCAAGTGTTATTATTGACTCACGCTAAATTTAATTAATTTGCCAATGGCCTCCTTAGTATATGTACAAAGTTTCATTTCATTAGCGTCATCAGTCTTTTAGTAATTCATCCGTAAACATCATCATGTCTCAGTCATCCGCGCATCGTACATTGCGCGTACACAGTTGTCATAAAATACCTCAAAAAGTGGAACAAAACGCTGACCGTAACATTTGAAGAGATGTCTACAGTTTATGGGGAGTTTGGGCCTTCATTTGCCACCATGAAAGATTGGATCCGATAATTCAAGCATGGCAGGGAGTCGCTAAAAGATGACCTCAAGTCAGGGCGGCCAGATTTCGCCATTAACGAATAAAATAATGAAAATTTAAAGAATCTTGATTTAGAGATCAGCGAATTAAGCTGTGACATATAGCTGAAACCATAGGCATTAGCAAGGAACGTATTTGCGATATTTTTCATACTCATTTGCACATGAAATAGGGGTGCGTGCGATGGGTGCCAAAAATGCTCACGCCCCTCGACAATCAGTNCAACCAGCGTCGAGTCACAACTTCGCAGGAGTTTTAGGACATCTTTGGCCATAATCCTAACAATTTTTTTTCTCACATTGTCACTATTGATAAATAATAGATCCGGCAGTACGATCTAGAGTCAAAATAAGAGTCAATGCAATGGATTCAAAAGGGAAACCGCCGCCGCGGAAATTCAAAGTGGAACGATCGACACCCAAGCTCATAGCCACTATTTTTGGGATTGTGGAGGAATTTTATTCATTGACTACCTACTCAAAAAAAACTACAATAAACGGGGATTATTATGCTGTACTGCTGATAAAAGTGCGTCAAGTGGTTGTTGAAATATTAAGATGCAAACTGGCGAAAGGAAATCTGTTATTGCAAGACAATTCGCCCACGTACACCGCGCATTTTGCATGGCTTGCCCCGGGTAAAACTGGATTTCAAGAAATTAATCACACACCACACAGTTTAGTCCGAATCCCTAGCTATTTTGTCTAATTCTCAAATTGGAAAAAAGACCTCCAGGAACGAAGGTTTTTGAGTGACAAAGAAATGAAGGCGGCGTTAAAGGCTCATTTCGAAGGCAAAGATTGCGAATTTTTTTTCAGTGGGTTAATAGCTCTTTTACACAAATGTAAGAAGTCCATTGTAGTAGAGGGAGATTAAATAGAAAAATATATTTTTTATACTTTTCTATCGGCATTTTTAATACCCTAGGCTCAAAACTTTTCAGCCGCCCCTCGTATATCGTTTATTGTTTTTATAAAAACCTAAATTAAGTAACGTCTGTCAGACACCGAAATTGACATAATTTTCAATCTGCTGAAAGACCACAGCGTAGAAATACATCACGATATTAAACCTAAACTTCTATAAACCAATCTTCAGCGTTAAAAATGAATATTCAAATCATTTGCTGGTGGAGGAAACCAGTTATGTTTAAAATTAATTGTTCCCACAAAAGAACATTATGTCAGCCAGTTTAATTTTACGGTAGGGTAGATATTGTTCAGTTTTTCATTGAAAATTTTAATTCAAGTCCAACATGCAAAGGTTTCTTACAAGCTTACTATTCATCTTTCCATAGTAGTTATGAAAAGAACATTTTATAAGCTAACTATAAGGCGGATTTAGTTACTGAGAAAAAATAGTTTTATTAAATCTAAGTAATTATAACTCAAAGGTGACTGACTGACTGACTGACTGACTGACTGCCTGACTGACTGACTGACATAGTGATCTATCAATTCACAGCCCAAACCACTGGACGGATCGGGCTGAAATTTAGCATGCAGGTAGATGTTATGACGTAGGTATCCGCTAAGAAAGGATTTTACGAAACATCCCTTAGGGGGTAAAATGGGATCCACGCGTACGAAATCGCGGGCGGCCGCTAGTCTATAATAAAGCGGAAGGTCACTGACTCACTCATCATGAAATCTCAGAAACTATAACACCTACATACTTGAAATTTGGCAGGTTCGTTCCAGGTGTAGTTTTTGTAGTTATTGTACATAAACTCGGGCCATTGGATATGTCAACGTGAAATTGTGAACTCTGTCAGTTTATAATATAACGCGTTAGATTGTAAACTAACAGTGGGTTAGGTTAGGTTAGATTGTAATTTAACTACGTCAGATTATAATCTGACGGAATTCACAATTTTACGGTGACAGATATACTGATTAACAANTTTTGAAGTCGGTTGATAAAATAAATTATACGGGCCGGTATTTCAGCAGGACTGATTTCAATCAACCAAACAATAGAAAGCGCATAATTACGCCGAAATCACCAAGCGTACATTTCCCGAAACTCGCTGCACTCCACCCAGCTCCATATTAGATCGCTCATTATTCCAGGAACGTTGCGAACGTTGCCGACGTTGCCGCGTTGTTCGCAACAACGTTGCGCAATGGAATACGAGTTGCTTAAGTGGATTAACGGAATGGGCACGTGTTTTGTTTAACGGGACGAGAATTGCAATCAATTTAATACTATTAATGTTGGAGGTTGGTTGGACGCTCGTGGCGTGTTCAAGTATTCCAAAGACGACAACTTAAAAGTTCACAGATTTTTATTAATAAAGGCTGATTTTAAGTACACGTAATTAAGTAGTTAAGTAGGTAACTAAATTTAAGTGATTAATTGCAAGTAAGCACAGAATTTAGTAGCAAGTTAAAATTTAGTTGTAAACTTTTTTACTTGCATAACGTGTTTACAGCAATTAATCACTTAAAATTAAGTAAAATTTTAGTTACCTACTTAATAGGTACGTGTAAATCAGCCTTCACAACAAACATAAAATTTAACATATTTTACTTACATAATACATTAAATAATCTTAATATAACGTAAACATCTTTTGTGTTGGCAAGCAAACATCAATCCAAAGCTACTTAGTTTTCAACAAATGAACTTAAGTTTCTGAAGTCGCTGTTTATTCGCACAATACGAAGCACTTGGTTACTCAGCTTATTGCAAAACTCACGTTGCACTCCGCCATAGAGAGCTTTCCGGGATGCCAGGAGTTGTGCAATGAAACAAGCTGCTGGTGATCCGATTACCTACAAACCGCTGAAAACCAGCGTCGGGCCACGCGTGCATGCACGGGTGCGTGGCTTGATTAATGCTGAGCGGGCGCCTTTATGGCACAAAAATATGCGTGTATAGTTTTAAGTCCCTTTGTTCTGTTTTTTATTTTGTTTTTGTGTCAAATAACATAACTGGCTGGTGCTTTTATTTACTGTTGAGACGAGAAATCCCAATTAAAACACTTCACACCCGGCGAACTTGGTACCGACCTTTCTGAAAATATAAAGTCTAAGTATCATCAGGGATAATGTAGGGACTCTAATGTTTTTTTTTTGTTCTATTCAATACAATGAAATCTTTCCTCTTTTAACAATATTAGTTTAGACTACCTTTCCCTACGACTTTGTACGCGTGAAATTTGGCTTCAACAAAATATTCTCATTTATGTCTGCAAAACTTACATTCATTACTTGCAAACTAAAACTGCCTACATTTCTATTTGTTGTAAAACTTTTATCACTAATGTAGGTATGTACGAGACGAACAAAATAATTATATTAAAGTTGAAGTTTAAACAAACTTTAAAGTTAAATGTTTTCCTAGTGAAGAAAATCCAAAAATAAAGAACAACGTAACGAACTAAGTAAACTTTTCGAAAGAAATGTGTAATTTTCTTTCATAATTTTAATAAGCTGTTCCAACTTAACACCAATTACCTACTTACTAAGTTTGTACAATCGCCCACGCGGCCACGTTTAAACTCTTATTATTGTTAGACATAACTTCCACATCCTCGAGGAAAATCCATGTTGTTATGATATAAACATTAACATGGATACATTTATCATATTATTATGTATATGACTACTTTAAGCGTCAATCAAAGATAGGAATAATTAAGTAATAACTATTGGGATTCGATCCCCAGCTACATGGTATCAATTTAACCATAATAATTCGGTACGGCCTCCTTGGCCGCGCGACGCTGGCCACTAAGAAAAACTGCGTTCTTTTTTCATCGCCGAATATCGACACTCTTTTGTTTTTCTTCTCGCTCGACCCTCAGTTTTTCACGTAAGTTTATGAATTTTCACGACTCGAATTTGTATATTTTGAATAATAATATAAGTTAATGTAAATAATGTAAGTAATACAACTTGTTTTTTACCCCGAATCTCGATTATTAATTATATCTACGATAGGTACCTCGAACGAAGCCCACAATACACGCAAAATTGAGGTCCAGCGAGACACCAAAGACAGTATCTCTTTATCGTAGATATCTATCTACCAGGAATAGCAGCCGAATTGTAAAACAATGCAAAACTTGCTAGATATTTCACAAAGGTTTTGATAACAAACTCTTTGGCCTCATCGCTTGAGCTGAATTCTTTTCCAAACTGTTTTAAAATTTATTATTTTGTTCGCAGATTGGCTGGAAGTACACAAATGCGTGGCTAGTTGGGAACCTGTTCTGCAAGCTACTGCTGGTGGTGCGAGCCTTCGGGCTCTACCTGTCTTCCAACATCCTCGTCTGCATCTCTATAGATAGGTAAGTCACATCAACGGGAATTATCCCATCACCCCTTCCCACTAATTTCTGTATAGCCAGGATCTACAGCTTGGAGATAGCTGTTTTGAAACCCGCAACGAATTTAATCAGAATATAGAAGGTATAAAAATACTAGCTTTACGCCCGCGGCTTTGCCCGCGTGGAATTTTGTCTGACACAGAAAACCTTTATCGCGCGCGTCCCTGTTTCAAAAACCGGGATAAAAACTATCCTATGTCCTTTCCCGGGAATCAAACTATCTCTATGCCAAAGAAGAACGGTCATCTGTGACCCAGGCCCGACAGAAACGAGACATACCTCAATTTTTTTGTCATGTCTTAATTAGTAAAATTATATATTTTTTATATTCGAAATCTATGTATAACACCAAATTATTACCCTTTGTTTTTGTTCAGGCGCCATACAAAAACTAATACAAAATGCCTATTTATCACCAAAATTGGTAAATGTATGTACCTAAATAGCTGCTATGGAATGTATTTAGGTGACCTGGAGATACAGCCGGATTATACAGGGTGGAAACGAGAAGTTACAAAATCCAAAAATTCAATGTTACCAGCTTCCATAATCTGTAACCTATTATTGGCACCATTTGAAAGAGCTCGTGAAGCACTTTCAGAATCAGTAACTAGATTTTCGATATCTTGTATAGTTTAGAAATAATCGAGTGAGATCACTTATGGTTCCATATGTATAACCACCCTGTATAATCCGGCTGTATCTCCAGGTCACCTAGATACATTCCATAGCAGCTGTAATAGACATTTAGGTACATACATTTACCAATTTTGGTGATAAATAGGCTATTGTATTAGTTTTTGTATGGCGCCTGAACAAAAACAAAGGGTAATAATTAGGTGTTATACATAGATTTCGAATATAAAAAATATATAATTTTACTAATTAAGACATGACATTAAATCTGAGGTATGTCTCGTTTCTGTCGGGTCTGGGTTTTTTTTGTATGGGGCGTGACCGTTCTTCTTTCATCGAAATCGGTTCGGAGGTTTAGGCATGAAAGCAAGACAGACAGACAGAGTTACTTTCGCATTTATAATATTACTAGCTTTCCGCCCGCGGCTTCGCCCGCGTGGAATTTTGTCTGTCACAGAAAAACTTTATCGCGCGCGTCCCTGTTTCAAAAACCGGGATAAAAACTATCCTATGTTCTTTCCCGGGACTCAAACTATCTCTATGCCCAATTTCATCAAAATCGGTTGCGAGGTTTAAGCGGGAAAGCGTAACAGACAGACAGACAGACAGACAGACAGAGTTACTTTCGCATTTATAATATTAGTTGGGATTAGTATAGATTTCGAAACAATATCCGACTTCAACTTCCCTCAGTTAGGTCATCATCAAGTTATTGACGCCCGTATTCACAAACGATGCTTGCTTAAGTGAAGCAGCAAATCGAACACACAGGGTTGAATAGAGCTCTGTGATTGGTTCATATGTTAACCTGTACGTACGTCCACGCGCACTGAGAGAACTCATAGTAATGTTTGTAAATATGGGCTTTAGTCTCCACTGAGAAGTACCACCTTCTCTAATTTACTAGAGGCAAATGTAAGATTTTACCTGTACTCCCCACGGTGGCCAGACGGCTTAGAAAGATTGATCCCAACTAATATTATAAATGCGAAAGTAACTCTGTCTGTCTGTCTGTCTGTCTGTCTGTCTGTCTGTTACGCTTTCCCGCTTAAACCTCGCAACCGATTTTGATGAAATTTGGCATAGAGATAGTTTGAGTCCCGGGAAAGAACATAGGATAGTTTTTATCCCGGTTTTTGAAACAGGGACGCGCGCGATAAAGTTTTTCTGTGACAGACAAAATTCCACGCGGGCGAAGCCGCGGGCGGAAAGCTAGTAAGTACATAAAGATAAGTACACAGACATGCCTCTTCATGGGACATCGCCTCGGCCTAAACAAACACATCTACGTGCCGTTCGAAAAAATAGCCTGATGTGCTAGTGCTCTGTGCCTGACAGGCAGACTTGAAATACAAGTAATAGACAAGTATAAATCGACAAATACGCTGATAGATAAGTCCAGAGAAATTGATATCAATTGGGATAGTAGATAACGACGTTTTTTACGACTGTCAAATCCACATAAGGTAGGTATTGCCACGGTATTGGGACACGGTGGGACGTCCACCTACAAGGTGGACCGACGACATCGTAAAGGTAGCAGGGAAACGCTGGACGCAGGCCGCTACCAATCGATCAACGTGGTAAGCATTAGGGGAAGCCTATGTTCAGCAGTGGACGTCCTATGGCTGACATGATGATTATGATGATGATGAATTATCGCTTTTTTACTGTCTCTAGATACTCTTGAATGTCACCTTTAATATTTTAACGTCTCTGAAATTAAGTAGACGGTATCCACATTTTAGATTATAAAAAAACATTGGGTAATACCTTTACTTAAAATCCATTTACAGCTCAACTTCAATAAACAACCTTCAAAAAACGGTTAAGTGCGAGAAGAAGTCGCATAGAAACAGCTTCCCCACTCTCCCCCTTCTAGGATGGCAATATGTATGTGTATGTTCAAGTAATTAAATGTCAAGTTTTTTAAGTGTACAATACAGAATAAATATTTTTAAGTGCAGTACTATTTCATAAATGTACGTAAACATTTATGAAATACCTACTTTTTACTTATATGTATAGTAATCAAAATTAAATTATATGTTTTTGAGTTGTACACGACTATGTGACCCCCTCCTGGCGCCAAAGCTGGATCCGCCCTTGCCTTCTACAAATATAGTTTCTCAATTCTCTACCAAAATCTATTAGACATTTGTAACGGCCAATGTACCTTGATTGATGATGATTTTAAACTATCGCATTCCATTACATCCCATATCAAAAATATCGCGTTGAGTGTCATGTTTCTCTCTTTAATTGCTTGTGTACTTAACCAAAAAGCGCTTTGACAGACAAAATGAAGTATCCTGATTACGTAAGGTTTTTTATTGGAGTACCTAAGGAACACTAAAAACACGTCCTACGTCATGTGCGTCTCTGTTATGTAGGGGAGAGTTCGGTATATTGTACCGCCGGGTAAATTGTACCACCCTCATATTTCGTAAAGTATTTATTGAATATCTGTAATTGCAACACTCAGCGATACACAACTAAATTCATTGAATATTGACCATATGGTTTTTGCCGTGTAACACGTGTGTTTTATTTTGAAAAGATTTTTTTCATTGTTTTCAAGTAACTTTTGAGAATGCATGTTTAGTTTGTAATTTTGTTAAATTTAATCACACAGTGTTTCTAATTTATTAATTAGAAGCGTAAATTAGTGTGGATTACGATTATTTGAAACATTTTTCGGTATTTATAAGCTATATTTTTTACCGACTTTTTACAAGCACTATAACCTAGTCGGTTAAATTGTACCACATCAAGTTGTATGAAACTTTACCAAAGGATTTTGAAAATTTTTTTAGTAGCACATATTTTGAAGGTATAATAGCGTAGTTATGTTTGACTAACAATAAATGAAAGCAAAAGACTGGCAAAGTAGATTAGGTACACGTGTGCGTTACGATAATTGGAATTACAAAACTTGTACTCAAAATCGTGATAACATGTAAAATAATATCGTTGTCTATGTAATTAACTACTGTTCCTTTTCGTTACCTAATTTGTTAAGAATGTATCGTATAATATTTTGCCATAGTTTTTTTATAGGCTTGAAATTTATTGAAATCCAATTTAGTAACCCTGTGGTACAAATTATCGAACCGGTTGGCTAAATTGGACCGATGCTCTGAACTCGTATTTTGTTGATTTGTGCTAAATATACAAAAATCATGTTGATTCATACCAATGGAATAGTAAGTTGAATAATTTCTCTTTTATTATATACCATGGACATTAGCAAAAACAAAACAAAACTATGTGTAAAATGGGATTGAAAAAAACTGGTCCAAATTACCGGACTCTCCCTTATTAAGCTCATAGCAGACTTATCAACTCTGAAAGGGATCAAGCAAGACCGTATCGCCTTTAGCAAGCTGTTATCGCCTTTCGCGCGCTGACAATTGCGAGGCGAGGCGTTTACGTTACGGTGCGAATAAGTGTGCGTTGTAGTATGGAGTTTCATACATAGAATACTGACCGCCTCGAGTTGATACGGTTACGATCCCTTTCCGGGTTGATAAGTGTGCGATGTCCTTTAGAGTGACAAAGCGCTTTGACGACCACCAAAAGTCAGTCCATTGCAATTAACCTCGACATGCAACTGAAAAAGAAACTCGTAGATATTCGCTTTCATGTGTTTCGAATACCTGTGTGTTCAATTCACAAATCGAACTTGGCCTGCAAAGCAATTTTAATATGTCAGGCTGAAACCGTCTCTCTCAGTGACAGTGGATGGGTTACGTGAAACTATGGTCATAGTTATGAAACTAATACCAAATGTTATTTTAATCCTTTGCTCCAAATTCCTGACGGCCCTTTTTTTTAAATCGAACACTGCTAACTTTTTGTCACGGATTAATAACGTCAGATGTGTCATGTCACGAGATGAGTATCGTACCGAGGTTTTATGTAATGAATTTTGGAAATATAACCTTAATGATTTCACAAAACATTATGATCTTTAGACGAACAAGAAATACAACATCAGCCCCCCTAGACAAAACGCACTTTTTGATCGAATCGAAAATCGAATCCGTCAAAACTCCATACAAAAAAGGGGCTTTTCGACCACTTTTCGACTGGTTTGCGATTAAAATTTGCACTTTGTCTAGACCAGCAGATAAATTAGTTTTTGTTTAATTAAAAACTTATCGCCACAGTAATTAGCTGGAATCTTCGCATTTCTTTCTGAGTTATAAATGGTTACGCATTTAATAAAATAGCCAAGTTTTCTTTTTAAGTCATCGTATTAATTAAAAAAAGCAATCGTTATAATACTTTATTTTGGTGTTCATGATGTTTTGAAATCATTAATGAAATATTATATTATCATTTACAAGAAGTAAACAATTGCTTTAAATGTTTAATATCCCGTTATCTAGTAAATCCGCCATTGTTTTCTTAGTACCAATAAAATACGTTGTCAAGCGAAATTCATCCAAGTCCCGGCGGCTACTAATCCAATTATACAAGCAGATGGCGTAATGCCTCCGACGACTACTATCTGGGACCTAAGTAATTGTAGTGGATCTGGAAAATTCCCGATACTTGTAGTCCAAGATTTGCTGAAAATACTTCGGGCCAAGAACTGTTATTGAATGAGGCTTTCGCACTGTTGAGTTCAGAGCGCTCGAGCGGTGTCAATGGCAAATCGTTTGTAGTGAGTGAGTGTAAGTTTACTACACTACATCAACCGTCCTCACTAGTGAATGCGTAAAAAAATTTAAAGATTATACCGTCATACATTGTCATTTTTTATGCGCTCACTAGTGAGGACTTTTGATGTAAACTCACACTAAGCCCTCGGACCGATTTACATACATAGTATTTTATTATTAGTAACAGTGAATTTTGTGACCAAAGTGACCGACACAGCTCGCAGAATTGCTAAAATCAAGTGGCAGTAGGCGGGGCACATAGCTCGTAGAGACGATGGCCGTTGGGCCATAAAAGTTCTCGAGTGGCGACCACGGGCTGGAAGACGTAGCGTGGGCAGGCCTCCTACTAGGTGGACCGACGATCTGGTAAAGGTCGCGGGAAGAGCCTGGATGCGGGCAGCGCAGGACCGTGCATTGTGAAAAACCTTGGAGGAGGCCTTTGTCCAGCAGTGGACGTCATTTGGATGAAACGAACGAACGAACAGTGAATATGATCCATCCAATATACCAAAATATTACATAAACATCCAATCTCGCATTAGTACACATGAATGCAGTCCGTGAATTATTGCCTTAAAACATGACCCATATCGTGTCGAGTCGGGCACGACACGACCGACAGCTGTCACGCAAAGATGTTCGCCACAGAGAATGTTGCGTGTGCAATTAACTCGCACTATAGTCATAAAAGCCGTTTATTTCTGGCAATTAAGCTTATAGGCGTCGCTGTATAATTTTAACCCTACCATTAAACTGGACCTATTTCGAGATTTGTTATAAATAAACTTGTTCTTTTATGTCTATTTCCATCATGCCTCTACAATATCACAATGTTTCTCCTGAAATAGGGTGCAGAATAGTTAATTAAGTAAATAAAAACTTAGGTATTTCAAATTAGCTTTTGGAATGGCCTTGGCTCGCAGCATAAAAAGGTGCCCCAGTAAGAAGATCCAACTTCTAGCAAGCGAAGGTTGAGTCTCGTGACCTTATGGACCTTTAGGGTTCGTATTACAAAACAACGCTAAAGCCTGAGACAACTTCAGCCGTAGATTTTGTCCTAAATGACCTAATTGGAGTTAAAAGTCAACTGATCCAAGACAACAATAAATGCTTGAAATTGAATGGAGTTTTGAATTCCTTTCTGCAATACGCACGTTCATAATTTATTGTCATCGGACATCGGACATCATCGTTGAAAAATTCAGTTAAATAAAGCCCTATTTCAGTTTAATAAAACTCCACTTGAGAGACTTCATTTACACAAACAGAATAAATAAATTACTTACTTGTAATAGGATAGGATGAGGTCAACCCAAATTCTCTGTAGGTCTCAATTAGAGTTAGACGTTAGACTATAATAATAGTAAACGTTGAAAGGATAATAATAAAATGGAGTAAGGGCTAGTCCAACTATACCTACCTATTTAACCACTCTGTATAATGTAAACATAATAAAAGTTAATAAGGGCGGTTACGTCATCGTACTGATATTGGTTTTGACCCTTTTACGTTCTTAAGTTGTCCGCCAACATAATATAAAATAAATGTGAGTTTCTTTTTGAGTTTCGTACTTTATTGGTTTCAGACTTTGTGGAGGGAAAACTTTGCGTTATAACAGATTTACAGGAAGCAAAAGGTTGTGACAAAACATGGAAGTTTCCTGCCCCTTCACACAAACTACATATTACACGTATTTTTTATGAGAGTTTACTATATTCGAAAACATCAGAGTACGCCAGCATAACTACGTCTATGTTGGTTGATAAAAAGGAAAAAACAAGTTCCTTAAAGTTCCAAATAAATGCCAAACTGAAATCAGAATGTGGACATAAAAATACAATTCTACGTAATGTTTTTAATTTTCGTGACAACCATTGTATTGCGGCAAAACCGAGCGGCTTTTTTCCGAATATTCATTTACATAATTTTATTTTACGCTCGTCTGTGGCCAGTGATGCTGGTCCGCTTATGTGTGTAATAACCCTTAATTCAGGTTACCTAAATAAAAGCCATCCTATATTTTTCCCTGGGTCCTGAACTATCTCTTTACAAAATTTCATTTGAATGGGTTTAGTAATTGATACGTGAAAGAATAGATAATCAAAACATCCATCCATCCTCATAAACTTTTACATTGATACTCGTAATATTAGTAGGATAGGAAAGTAAGATTAAACTGCTTAATTGTAGTGATGAAGAAACCCAGTTATGCCGATTAATGTCGTCCACATTATGAAGTTTTAATAAAACTGTGGGTTGCAAAAAGTTGTGCCCCTTTGGCTCCAAAGCAGCTGCATAAGGTCTGCAGAGCACGCTCTAGCGCTTGAGATTGACACCTTTGGAAATAATCGGATTGGCTCTAAAGCTAAGTGTGTTCGTTCGTTTCAGCCAAACGACGGCCACTGCTGGACAAAGGCCTAATAAGGATTTTCACAACAACCTGTCCTGCGTTGCCAACATACACCCGTGTTCACAAATATTTCTATGAGGTCTCACTGTGCGCGTGGACGCACAGGATGACACACGAACCAATCACAGAGCTCTATCAACGCTGTGCGGTCGATTTGCTGCTTCACTTAAGCAAGCATCGTTTGTGAACACGGGCGTTAGTATATTTTATTTATTTGTTGCAGGTTCTTCGCGGTACTATACCCATTACGGCTGCCGGTGGCGCGGCGGCGCAGCAAGCAGATGCTATACTGCGCGTGGGCAGCCGCGCTCGCTTGCAGCCTGCCGCAGGTATCGTCAACTTTTTCTTTATTAATCATGTTTTTATGGGGAACCAGACGCAGGTTAGCGTACCACCCCTACATTGTCGACATTCCACCAGCTCGCACTAAGCGTTTCGATAACTCTTTTATAATGCGAACAACTAGGGATTGGAAATCGCTGCCTGTTGTTGTCCTTATCAAGGCCAGAGTGGATAGGCTCTTATAGGGCAAATATTATTATCTACCATCCTAGATTGCATCTCACTTAACACCAGGTGCGATTGCGGTCAATTACCTGCCTTGTCTTACATTAAAAAAAATCTCTTGTAACACTGGTATATTTCTTGGAGGGCTATATGAAGGTGTTACTTGACTCTACAGAAGGTTACTGAATGAAACTTCAAAGGTCACTGTAGAAATATATTCTCGAATCACGTACAATAGTGGTTTGTTAGCGGGGACTATACAGGGTGGAAACGATAAGTGATCTCATTCGATTATTTCTAAACTATACAAGATATCGAAAAGCTGGTTACTGATCCTGAAAGTGCTTTACTAGCTCTATCCAACGGTACCAATAATAGGTTACAGAATTAACTGGATCTATCCAAAAATTAAATGTTTCCAGCCTCCATACTAAATGTATGCCAGCCAAACAATATTGAAAGTATTAATTTTTTTTATTAAATAATAAACACTTAAAATGAACTCGTAAATTGCATTCTTATTCAAAATGATTCTTTGAAAACATTGGTTTAAGGCTTTACTTGCTATAATATTATCAAGACATGAGTGCCATGCCTGTTTCTGTACTAAATGTATGGAAGCTGGAAACATTGAATTTTCGGATAGATCCAGTTTATTTTATAACCTATTATTGGTACCGTTGGATAGAGCTCGTGAAGCACTTTCAGGATCAATAACCAGTTTTTGAATATCTTGTATAGTTTTTAATATTATGTGGTTTTACTAAATGTATGGAAGCTGGAAACATAGAATTTTCGGATAGATCCAGTTTATTCTGTAACCTATTATTGGTACCGTTTGAAAGAGCTTGTGAAGCACTTTCAGAATCAGTAATCAGTTTTTCGATATCTTGTATAGTTTAGAAATAATCGAGTGAGATCACTTAACGTTTCCACCCTGTATGCGATAAGAACATTGTGATATCTCATAAAATATTTCTATTTTTATAATTCTCGAATTCGCTAGAAAGGTGCTGTAGCTATTTTTCAAGTTAAACTGAGTCTGGTTCTATACAAAGTAGTGATAGACAGCTGGTATAAAAATATCAGCATTTTGCTTTTTCATGTTCGGTTGTCTGGTCGTCCGAAGCACGAAATTGAATTTATTTTCAGACAATCGTATTGCGACCTTAGTCATGTCCAAGCCAAAACATAATCTAGCCAGATTCTAGACAAGTATTAAAATTCTGTGAATTTTTCTATTTACATTTTACTTACTGTCTGACTTATTTTATCAGACAGTTTTTCAATAATGCATAAGAAATAATACCTAGGCCATCAAAATATTTATGCGATTAATAGTACATTAAAACCCTTTTTGCTTTCCTTGGCGCAATTATGAGATAACGAGCTGACATGGTGGACTAGAGTTACTGAATTGACACTTTAGAAATTTTGCTGATTTAACCACGTCTAGACAACGGATTAAACATCTGGGGACAAGACGTTAAACTTAACCTGTCAAGTACCTGCAGATGCAGACAATAGAAAACAATAGTTTGCTCATGCGATAGTTTGGGTTTCTTCGTTCATGAGATCAGCAAATACCATTTTAATGGATACACAATTTCATTGTTCATGAACCTTTAATATTCACAATATGGTGGGAATACTGCCACTGCCTAGGGTTAAATCAATTTGCTTGCATTCAATTTTACAAGGCAAACATTTTACATTTTGCAGCTCTATTGAATTGTTTCATATTGTTAACATTTTAACGACAGTTTATGGTAAAATAAATAAAAGTTAATAGTAATATTAATGTAGAGGTATAAATATAATTGTAAACTAGTCTCCATAAGCAAAAAGAAACTCTACAAAAGTATCAAAAGAGTTATCAAAAAATTCAATGCTATAACTACTTCACTATTAAGTGGATGGAAATAGAATTTGGGGCAATTTAAAGCCATCAAGTACAACAAAAAAAGACATTATCTCACTCATCCCCGTCTAGACGCTTATCTTACCTTTTACAGTTCCAGTTATTCGTAATAAAATTAACTGTGGGTATTTTCAAGAAATCATTTTAATTTATTATAATAAAATGGTGTCCTGCTTTTTTTACGCTCGCGCTCCTGTAAAACTTTTTTATGTTATTGGTATAACTTTGCAAACAAACCAATTTTCTTCCAATAAGTTTCCACATTATTTTTTTTTTGATTGAGCATTGATTAAGCACCCCAGATATATGGGCTTACTCCATTTCATACTGAAAACTGTTTTTTGGCAATTTTTCAGCACCATAGAGCACTTTTTGTACTTTTTACACAGTTACATTCCCAATTATTTTGCACTTTACATTAAACAAAACAAACAACATTGAAGTAATATTACTGGGAAGTCAAACCTTAACTTCGAACTCCTCCTTTGTTCTTCTGATTAATTTCGTTGCTGGTCCAATGACAGTTTAACTTTCCCCAGGGACAAACTTGACCTTCACTAGTTGGGTTTTTATTGGCGGTCAAGCTATAGATCCTGGATACACCGGAGTTGCAGCGGTGGGCCACATGGCATTAAGTTCACTTTTTTGTACCGCTTATTTTTTGTGTGTGCAATAAAGTTATTGAATAAAAAAACAAATAAATATATCCGGCAACTACGAGTAGCTTACAAAAAGTTTGATTCAGAAAGTACCAAGGATTTTAAGCGTAATTAATGACAGGTCATAATACCTAACCAACACAATAATCAAAACAACCGGCTATTCTGTTCCCCCCTCTTTTGTGGTTTTATATTTGAAGTTTCCCAACTTACGGTTAATTCAATTACCAGTTTTACTTTGAGTAACAAATAATGAACAAGCTTCGGATACTCAACAATTATTAAGTTTGTCGGTTTGGTTAGGACAGAACTTTCCGTATAGATCCTTGACTCCGTAACGCGTAACGATACGAACATACATTCGAATTAATTGGCTATCGGGTTTCCATATTTGGGTCGGCAGGGTCGGGTCGATCTTATGTACTGGAAGACCAGCCCTTCGTTATAGGTAGGTATTCCTCCCTTAGTGTCTATGGGAATTAAAGTGTTAACTTATTCTTAATTTAGTTTGTAATAAGGGAATTGCAAAGAAGATTGACAACTCTATGACTGGCTCATGGTCTTATAATGACGTGTCCACGAACTATACACAAGTGTGTGAGCTAACGTCTTAATATTATGAAATATGATTTAGGTATTACTTATAGAAATTGACTTGCCTGACGGATATTTTATTGTCTTGGAAGTTAATAACTCACAAGTAAAATATATCGATTATTTTTCATAAAAGTCAGTCTTCCATTGGCTGTCATGACAAATAAAAATACATATTAGAATTGTGAATAACAACGAATTCAACTAACAATAAAATCCTTCCAATCAATAAAATGCTTAACCAATTGATCCCAATACTGAAACCTTCCAAATATCCCCAGAATGGATGCCAATATGCCATCAAAGATTGATAAGTGAGATAGAGACGACTCGTTGACAGAGACGGCAATTTGGCGGCGTATGATAATTTCAGACAAGTTCTGTAAACAATCACGTTGTTCATTTTGATCCTTAAACGTCAATGATACGTATCGACCAATCACCAATCCATAGAACAAAAACTATTTATCTGCAATTTTACACAGATTCATCTAGTCTCACAATATTTGGTAAACCAATTTATCAAACAACTAAATTTTCCATAGTTCTGGGGAGTAAAAAGAGTAGAATCTGGTCTTATGGTGTTAAAATATAAGAAGAAATAACCTTGATTCACAGTAAAAATCCCAAGTAAGTAAGGAAATATTTAACTGTCTAAATAACTGTATTAATATACAATAAAATCATAAAAATATTAAGTATGTTTATACGCTCGGAGAAATAAAATACATTGAATAAATGCAACTTTTGCTTTATCAGCTAGGTTTCCAGCACTTTGTTAAATTATCGTCATTTTACAAGGAAAAGCATGTTTCAGAATAATTTATATTAATGACCCTGCTTTGGTAGACTGAAAAAATCGGATGTAAGTACTAAGTACACGTACATTTATGAAGGAGGAAAATAATTTATCGTATCAATTTCTAATATTCTCTGAAATTTTACTTAACTAAGGATCAGTAAGAGCCGGATGTGGTAGTTAATCGTTTTTTCAGCTGAAACCAAAGTACCGAATTTGAATGATTGATAAGGGTTATATGAAAGGTATTGTGGATTTCTTATTTTTCCGTAATAACGTTCATTGATACTATTTTTAATGTCTATTTTTATAGTGTAGTAAAGTATTTATTTTATTTATTTATTTTATTTGGTTTACCAGAAATTGTTACATTGATGCTTACACAGTATACATACAGCCATAGTGGTAATAACTTAATGCACAATTAATTTAAGGTAAACACCGCATGCAATATATTAGTAACATCAATTATAAATTATTATTTTGATCAGAGATACGCCAACCTATTAATGTGGCTTCGACCCTCGTATGTGAACAAGAAGTATCTCACGTAGAGTTACCAAACACATATTGAAAAACCCTGGATATCCAAAACAACTCGCTTCCACCTTCGGCCTGATCATCACTTATACATAGGCATTGAGATACAAGCCAAGAGCTTCCTCGTTATGGATAAAAAAAATCATTTCCCAGAATGCGTACTTCTCTAACGCTTCGTCTGTCTGCAAGCTTTAACAGCTAATAATAAGAAAGATGATGCACTATAACTGTGTTTTTCATGATTTATTTCGATAAGTAAGTACATAAAATTACGTAAATGGATAACGAAATGGCAGATGTATTTCGATG